AATTAAGGGTGTGGCGATTAGTTTAGTTGACGAGACGATATTTAACGTTAATGAGGAAATATGACTGAAGCTACTGAAAGTCACAAAAAGCAAAATGATGCAGGTGTATTTTGAAATGTTGCTTACATATTGTTCGTGTCTTGTCTGTCACCCCTAAAAATAAGTAATAACAAATCCTTATAGGCGAGTCCCGACACTCGGCAGCCATCTTGGCGACGCCTCTGCTCGGCTATTTCGGACTAACAAGACCGAGCTCCTGTCTGACTGAATGGGCAAAGAGCCAGAACTGCACTTTTACTGGGACATAAAAACTACATGAATAGAATCAGAAGGAAAATCTGATAAAAATCGCTGAAAATGTTTAAGTTTGCCCCAAAATGAGGTTTAAAAAGCGTTTTTCCCGACCGGTTGTACTTCTTCCACGCAGTCGAAGTAGAACAGACTCTTACGTCAGTGGAACCACACGATTGGCTGAAATATGTTTCCCGCTTTGGCTGTTAAAAGCAGACGATTGGCTTTCTAGCGGGAGAGGCGCGGGATAACCGCCATCTTTACCGTTACGGGCTTTCCCCGTGTAGTTGTACTGTGAATGTGATTGAGTGTCTCCTCTATAAAACGTCTCTAATAATCGTAGACTGTATAAAACAAGTGGCCGTAGCCGCTGTGACGTCACCCAACTTGGTTTGTAGCTTGGTTAGTGAGATACTTAATTTACGTTACCGGCGATGCTAATTTCAGCTTGCGACAAACGGACTTACTGAAAAATGAGCAGCCGACGCAACGGCTGTCAGAGAGGAGGCAGATTTAAGGTGCTTCACTTTGTGACGGGGGATTTTCCTCTCTGGGATCAATAAAGATTTACATCCATAAATCACTTGTTGATGAATTGTTTAGCCATAATAATCGAGCTGATACACATCAAGTTCCTCTTTGTTATAACTCCAAATCTAATGTCACAGTATTCTGACGTTGGTGCTTGAGAGTCCTTTTCCAATATCCACTTTTTAACCGAATCCCAAAACGATTTTGAATAATTACAAGTAAAAAAAACTCAAGGAAGTCCTCCAGCGTCGATGTCAGGGCGAGCGCCGGAGCTTTCTCGCTGTTTAGTTCACAGTTACAACACAGGAAAAAAAAAAAAAAAAAGAGACATTTAGAAACTCTCACTTTACGTTCCAACGTTCTAAAGCAGAAATTAAAACGACTCTCAGACCATCGCTGTGGAGACAAACATCACAGGAAGTACACACAACAACGCAATCCCCCGTCGTCGTCTTTCAGTCCGCCATCTGACTAACTCCCCTAAACTTCACGGTTTCAGAAGCAGTAGAACCTTTCAGTTCCTTCACGGACCGTAATCACGGAGTTTAGATCAGTCACTATGTTCTGACTCTGTAGGTTTGTTTAGTCGTCATTTCCTGCGACGTGAATGTGTCTGAATGTTGTTTGGTCAGTGGAACTTGAGAACATGGCGAGCCGTAACAATGCATTCTGGGTAAAATGAACCCCTGAAGACTGAGGTCTACTTTACTTTAGACTCAGAACGTGTTATGAGAATAATGCAGGACGGGGAGGAGGACCTGAAAGAGGACGCCCCCCCCCCGCACCCCCCGCCCAGGCTGCAGGCTTTAACAATGGCCTCCACGCATGACTAAGCCATCAGACTTCATTCCACCAACAGAGCGGAGAACACGTCTCTCTGCTCGGCTTACTCAGCACTCAGCAGAACTAAAGTTTTATACCGAGTCAGGCCTCCCCCTCCTCCAGATATGATAACGCAGGTTGATTTACCTAAACCACAAAAACTAATGTTGTCCTTTACCTCGAGTGGAATCAGCGATGCAGAGAGTTTAGGTTTTACAGGAACAGAATTTAATTTCAGATTTAATCTCGGAGACACGTCTTTGCTTGGACCTCGCTCTGCCGGTTCTGTGTGCCCCAGATTTATAAGGCGCAGAAAGGGCACATGACAAAGACTGCGATTCCCCAGTTCTAGGTTTAGGGAACGTAAGAACTAAGAACTATAGACTGAAGCTGGAGCTACTTTCTGCCTTAGGCCCCGTCCACACTCCTCCGTTTCAGTTTAAAAACAGAGTCCACAACTGTGTTTTAGCTGCGTATCAGAGTTGATCCCCGTCTAGACGACTGAAAAACGCGCATCTAGTGGCCGATGGTCTGTTCTGTAGTTACAGAAGATTTGGCGAAACAATATAGAAATGCAGACGTAGAATCACCAGAAACGCAAAAATTAAAACTCTGTCAGCAGCATCCTGTTTCTGCTTTGCATGACTGATGAGAGCCAATCAGAGAGCCGAGCGTGAGCGTCTGCATAATCGTTTCTAAAGTCCTCTGTTTTTGCCCGTCTTCACTAAAACGCTCTCCAGAGTTTTAAAACGCAAAACGGGGTCGCAGCGTTTCCAAACTTCTCTGTTTCAGGTCTTTGTTTTCGCCGTTTTATTCCGGACGGGAGGAGGAAACGTAGCAAAAGGTCTCAGCAGAGTGGACGGGGCCTTAAACCTGCGTCCTCTCTAGCAGCCAGCAGGGGGCGACTTAAACCTGCGTCCTCTCCAGCAGCCAGCAGGGGGCGACTTAAACCTGCGTCCTCTCTAGCAGCCAGCAGGGGGCGACTTAAACCTGCGTCCTCTCCAGCAGCCAGCAGGGGGCGACTTAAACCTGCGTCCTCTCCAGCAGCCAGCAGGGGGCGACTTAAACCTGCGTCCTCTCCAGCAGCCAGCAGGGGGCGACTTAAACCTGCGTCCTCTCCAGCAGCCAGCAGGGGGCGACTTAAACCTGCGTCCTCTCCAGCAGCCAGCAGGGGGCGACTTAAACCTGCATCCTCTCTAGCAGCCAGCAGGGGGCGACTTAAACCTGCGTCCTCTCCAGCAGCCAGCAGGGGGCGACTTAAACCTGCGTCCTCTCCTGCAGCCAGCAGGGGGCGACTCCACCGGCTGCAGAAAGAAGTGTGATTGTATAGAAGTCTATGAGAAACTGTTTCTACTTGTCAGCTGATTTATTCCCTCAGTAAACACTTTCCTGATGAGTTTCTGGTCTCAGTCGCTAGTTTCAAGTCTTCTTCAACACAGCGTGATGTTCATTTAGTAAATTATGGTCCCATTTAGAGGAACAGAGACCAGGAAGCAGGGGAGGCTTTAAGGCGGGGCTACAAGCTGATTGACAGGTCGCTACCATGGCGACCTGAGGCGACTCGTATCCGCTGCTCTGTGTACATTTAACCAGCGCAGCTGAAAAAAGCTCATCAGGAGTCGGCTGCTCATTTTTTTCTAAGCCTGTTTGTCGCTAGCCAAAATTAGCATCCCAGCTAATATCACAGGTAACATGAATTACAGATGCACCTAGCTAACCAAGCTAGCTAGCTCCGCCCTCTCGTCCAAATATGGTCACGTCTGGTTCCAAAAAAACAAGATGGCGACGGCCAAAATGCCAAACTGGACTCCAAGAAGAAAACAAAGTAAACAGGGTGAACCTCACAGAGAACATGATGTATAATGAGATACTTTACTGTAGTATTATTTTTAAACTACCTGACAGTATATTAAGTTGCGTTAAGTAAATATAATGGTGCCTTTTTCCATAGCAAGTAGGAGAGACCGGGTGTGGTTGTAACATGGGGAGAGAGTAACAACAACAATTCCAGCAAATAGAGATAAGATAGGAGTTTGGTGATAATATCAGTATTTACCTGCTTCCTCCCTGATCAGGCCTGGTGGTTATCAAGTCTGGAAAGAGTTGCATTCAGAATATATAGAGAAAAAACTGATTTTTGAGGTCAGAAAGTAAATTTTTTGACCAAGACTGTTTTTTGTTTAGTATCTATACTATTGCAGGTAGAATTATTTGACTTATATTAGACTGAAATGTAGTTTCTTAGGCAACATGTGATGCATTTTTTCCTTTCTAATTTCAAACCACTACGGTAATACAGCTAGCTACACATTGGCTGACAGTGGTGGGTTGTGACACTTCTTTAAAAAGTGTTACAACCATCCACGATACATAAAACTATTCTTGTGGAGGACTGAACTGGTGCCATTTGCAGTGAACACATGTGGGAACTTTGTATAAAAATCTGACAACTCTAGCTAAAAAAAATCAGTGAGTTATAGTTACTGAAGCAAAAAGTGTTACAACCACACCCGGTCTCCCCTACTTCTACTTTTGATACTTGAAGTCCATTTTGCTGATAATACTGCCTCTGGGTTAGACTGACTGTGTGACCTCTTACCCAGTTCACCGTGTCCCAGTTAAACCAGGTGTTCCCACCACACACCTGTTTCAACACCACACACCTGTTTCAACACCACACACCTGTTTCAACATCACTCACCTGCTCACTGCGATTCATTACCTTCAGCGGCGCTCGGCGTCATAGGCGGAAATCACGGGGGGGACATGTCCCCCCTATCTGAGGGGTGCCCCCCCCACCAAATAATACAATGATATATACTGTGTACTGTGTAAATAGTAAAACAATCCAAACGCAAACAGGGCATTTAAAGTGCTTTTTAAGTTTAGAAACATTTTGAGTCCCCCCTCTCTGTCTCACAGTGGTTTGGTCCACAGCCTGCTTCACCTCACAGGAGTCCAGTTCAGATCCTTCACTAGTTGTTGGAGCTCCAGTAATGTTAAACAGGCTGCACTTTAAACAATGAATGAACTGATTCTTTTGTCTTTAATACAGATGATGCTGAGTCATTAATAAATTAATCATGACAATAACTGATTATTTTTCTATGAGCCCGCTCTGTTATTATAACATGACCGAGCTTATTTGGTAGCTTGTTTAACAGCTTATTGGACCGGAACTCATCTTCTACAGCTGGAGATGCGCAGATTGATCAGCTGGGGACAGAAATAGGCCGTTTTATTTCCGCTTACTCTGCTCTGACCGGTGTCCGGGGGCCGAGCAGTGTCATATATCCCATTTTCTGCCGGTCACATTGAACGTTACAATCAGGCTGCGCCGTTTTTCACATGTGTGCACAGACAGTAAGCTCATGTCACAGCTGCACACACACACACAGGCTGAAACACGTCTCAGGTGTGTGGAAGTTATTCACGAGAAGACGCAGCGCTCCCTACATCTGCAGAGAAACACACAGAAAGAGACGCTGTGGACATTTAAAGCAGGTAAAGACACAGTGAACACAGCTGCTGGTGACGATGTCATTCACACCAGGTGGTCTCTGTCAGTGATTAACAACAAGCCTCCTCCACACGAGGCTCATCTGCTGCTGGGAAAACGGAATCACGGGAGGAAAACCAAAAAAATAAAACTGCTGACAAATAAAGTCAGAGCTGACAGAGAGAGACACAGACAGACAGACAGACAGACAGAGACAGACAGAGACAGACAGAGAGAGACAGACAGACAGACAGACAGGTGTAGGTGTCTGCTTGTGTGTCTGACGGGAAAAGATTACTGTAGTTTGTGGTTAAACACAAAAATAAAATTGGAGAACTAAGTAGTATTAAAATGGTGTGCAATTTATTTTCAGCTCCTTCCGGTGAAAATGTTATTTTATAATCAGTGTTTCATTATGATACAGTTGAGACCAGTGAGAACAGCCAACATTTATACTGGTGCTGATGGGGATCCTAATAAAAACAGATTTTTCCAATAAATAGTTACAAAAACGCTGGTGTATGCTGTCAGTTACAGATCTAAGAAAGAAATAACATCGGAATCAGCCAAAATTGGAGTCGGCAGGTCAGCGCTTTTAAAAAATCACTGGAATCAGCCAGGAAAACTGTGATTTGTGCAGATCTGACTACAGAGATAATCCTGTGTGTGAACCGATATTAGGCTGATACCGTAGATCCACCGTTATTATGTTATTGGCAGATCAGCTGGCCTGCTGCCGTTAAATAAATAAAATCACATCCTATAGGCCTACAATTACAATTTTGGCTGTATTATTTGTGTCCCCCCCCCCTCAGGCGTTTGAGTCAACACCAGCTGACAGTCTGTTCTCACGCGCACACTGAAACAGGGTTCCCACATGTCCTGGAAAACCTGGAAAACAGTTGACCAATTTTCCTGTCATGGAAAAATTTAAATATCCTGGAAAATGATTTTTTTTTCTATAAGTTGCGGCAGCGTCGTGAGCAAACTGCAGGTCATGTTGGGAAACATGTTGCAGATATTCAGTTACTGCAGTGGTTAAAATATAATTCATAGGAAAAGCACAGAACACAAAGGACTTTCCAAAAGAAACAACAAAAATTAAATGGCAATGCTATAACAAATATTAAAACAGCAATAAAACAAGATCAATCTGTTATTATTATTATTATTATTATTATCATAATTTCTACACGTTACAGATGATTTCATAGATGATTATAGCCGCAGACTGCACGTCTTTCAAATCAGACTTCAGCTGAGAGGAACATGTTAGACCAAGTCCTGGAAAATGATCTGTAGTAAAGACTCTCACACGTTGGTCTCACTGTCTCATCTCATTGACATAACGTTTTCTCCAGCCCCTCACCCTGAACAAGGTCCTGGCCCTCAAACAGCCCTCCTGCATTTTGGTCCCTGCAAAGCTGTCGGACCCCGCAAGTATAGTGGAATACCATTTTTTTGGGACCCCGTGAATGTGATAAAACTGAAACACACTCTTTATGAGATTGTTTTGTTCCTCGGGGTGTGGCTTAAAGCTTGTGACGTCAGCACGAGGGTGAGGGGATGTGTGTGTGTGTGTGTTTTCCAGCAGCCTCCTCAGAAAGCGACTCCTCTCGGCTCGACTGGCTGCTCCTTTGAGCTCGGCACGTAAGTTTCTCTCTTTTTATCACATTTTCACCAAAAACGATTTAATTATATTAATTAATATAAATCAGAGCTGAAACGATTTTTGATGAACCACTTTTTTTAAATTTTATTATTATTTTTTTTTAAACACCAAAAAACTGTGTTGGATGTTAAACTGTTGGTCAGACAAACGTTTTTTTTTTTCCTGTTTTCTGCAGCTTTATAGACACATAAATGTATTGATTAATCTGTTGATCAGTCGGAAGTTGCAGCCCGAGTGGCTTTGATTTAGATTTCACAAAGACAGTCAGCAGAAAAAGGGAACCGCTTTATTTTGAATATCAGTCGGCTCAAAATGTTGCTCAGATTTTATTTTGGAGGGACATTAAGACGGGAGAAGTTTTCTTGTTGCTGAGAGAGACAGATAATTTCATATTCTGCATATGAGCATCAGGATTAAGATTATTTCTAAACTTCACCGTGCAGTTTGTTTCTTGTGTTTATTTTGTGATTGTTGCCGTTTGTCTTCTGCTGAACTTTGATTAAAAAAACAAAAACCTGAAGTTGGAAAGTTTCCTTCCAGTCTGTGGTTCCCCTCGTGGTGCAGAGAGGGGAACACCTGAGGGCAGGAGGTGAGCTGCAGATGTTCTGGCTCACTTCACTTCTTTCATGCAGCAGTGAAAAAGTGTTTTTCTAGCTTTAGAAAATGTCCTTTTTTATTTTATTGTTTTGTTTCTAGTACCGCAGCATCATCTCATGTTGGTGCCTCTGGGAGCGACGGGGCCGCACCTTTCCTGCGGCCTGCGTGCCTTTTGTTTACGAGCCTGCTGTGTTTGCGGCTCTGGAAAAGCAGCGAACGTGAAGAAGAACCCACATCTTTTAAATAAAGCCGTGTTTCATGTCGACCCTCCGGATGTGAGAGTGAACCCTGAGATCCTGCAGGAACTTCCTCTAAATGTTGTTCCTAGTTCTGAACCAAAGGGAGCATCGCGCTCCTTTTCTTCACGCTGAGATTTCATTGTTTTCTTATGCAGATAAGTTTCTATTCAGGGCGGTCCGGGCCGGCGGGGGGGGGGGGGGGGGGTTGGATTGGTTGCACAGCTCCTGAGATGTGGCATGGAATCTGTGTTAGGCTTTAGAGAAATGAAACCAGGCTAGAAGAGGCTTTGTTTTGGGCCAATGAATCAGTATTCTTTTGAGGGGAAATCTAAAGGGCCCTTTCAGACGCTGCTTGGCCTCCTCCCCTTCCTCCCCTCCTCCTCCTCTTCTTCATTGATGGAGGACAGACTGGAGGCCTGCTGAGAGCCGGTTCTTTCCTCATAAAAGGCCGCAGGAGGAGCGAGAGGAGCAGGATTTGCTCTGCCAGCTGACATGTGAAAGAGGACCATTGCTTTAATGGAGGGCCTGAAAGAGGAGTCTGTCATTTCTCAGCACAATAACAACAGCGAGGGAGAGAGGGGCTTTATGGGTAATTGACTCTCTCTCTCCAGAGAGCTACATTCCTGCTCTGACGGGTATCAAACGCTGAAGGAACGCTTTCTTTCATCACGGCGAAATCAAACCTGCAGAACGTGTGCAGCGAGAGCCGCAGCGTCTGAATACATTAGCCTACTTTCATAATCCTGCCGCTACAATAGTCAGATTATTTGGCTTAAGCGCTGTGAGATCTGAGGGGAGGGGGGGGGGCAGATTTGATTTGGACTAAATTTGGACCATCTGGCCCAAGCCGACCGGATCATGCTCCAGTTAAACATCGAGATCATGTCAACCAATAGCGACGCAGGGTTGGATAATAACAGGCTTTGTTTGTGAGTTCAGGCTCATTTCTACAGAGTGAAAACACTGTTTCCTCTGGTCCAAGTGTTGAAAGCTGGGGTGCAGCACAGAGCCCCCCCCCCCATCTCTTTTAATCTTTTTGCATCTCTGTGTAGCTGCTTGGCGTCTCTTTGTGACTGCCTGTTGTGTTGAAAACTCTTTGCGCCTGATTCTGCTTGAAAAAACTCAAATCAAATCTCGAACACACATTTTTAGATTCAGTGTGGCTCCCGCTTCCACAAGGATATCACGACCTCTGACGTCCGTCCAGAATAAACGTCCAGAAACCAGCTTAGTGCCAAAACACGCTCCTGCAGAACCTGAGATTCATGTTTTTAACGCTCCATCCTCGTCCTTCTGCTGCGTTTCCGCCTCCGGTCCAGACTAAAATGGACTCAAACGCTTCCTGATTGGCTCTTATCAGTCAAAGCAGAAACACGATGCTGCTGACAGTTTTATTAAAATACTCTGTACTGTGTAAATAACACTTCCACACTTGTCCTCTGCATGTTTCCGTATTTACTTTATGGCGTCTCCCAGCCTGTTTCCCACCGCCACAGCCTCTTTGTCCTCCCGTGTTCCTCTCAGTAACAGTTCTACCTCACTGGTTCTTCATTCGTCTCTAGTAGAACTTTCTTCTGCAGCTGCTGATGTGGACAATCTGCTTCCTGTTTACACCGGCACGCACACGCTCAGTGTACGTGAACGGTCACGTGATGTGCGTTTTCAGGTTTTAATATAGACGGAGATTTTTTCTTTTTAAAACTGTGTGGATGTAACCTGTAAAGTTTTCTTCAGTGCCACAGTAATCCATTGATAGCTGTCTGTACATCCACGCTAACTGCTAACAGGAGCTGCGTTCCATTTACCTCGGACGTCCGAGCTCGGGATTCCGATCGACCTCGTACCCGAAACAAGGAAACCAGAGTTGGACACGTTTGATTTGCCACACCACACGACAGGTTAGAGGTGTTGTCGTTAGCAACATCGAGCTAGCCAATTTTAGCCAACGGTATTTCACAGATAACAAAAAACTTAGCAGGACGCCTTTGGGCACCGGTAGGATAGTATTGTGGACACGACTCACTGAACTGGACGCAGAAAATTGCTAAAAGAAACCACAGCTTTTACTGACAGTGGATCCTCGCAGCCATCTTGTTTTCTGAACTCGACAAGTTGAAACTCCGACATCGGGGGGGGGGGCGCTCCATCTGGTCATGGAACTGGGAAAATACCTCGAAAAACAAGATCCGAGTAAAATTTGATTGAATTGACTGATTCGGCTACTTATGCCGTTTTTCCTTTACCGGTACCAACTCGCCTCGGTTTGGTCGTGCTCCGTTTTCCATTGCAGATAGCGCCTCTCAATGTGCCTGGTCGTCATAGCAACAGCTCATACAACTGCCGCGACATAATTTTCAATGCGACACACACACAGCTGGGGCGAGTTCAGCGCCGACAAAACGTAGCAAAACGTTTTTTTCCAACGGAAACGTTGTTCCCCTGAACACCCTGCTGTGAACGCAAGCGCGCTGCATTTCCCAGCCTTCTTAACGCCGTTGTGTTTACAAACTTGTGGCAGCTGATTGGGTAACACCTGAGACACGCCCACCAAACGGGGAAAAAACATACCTCGAAACCCGTTGCAGAACGTTGCGCAACGTTGCAAGGAAACATGTCGTTCAATCAGAAAACGTTGCAAACCGGTGCAAAAATTTAACTCGCCCCAGATTTAAGTTAAAGCGTTTGAACCTTCCTCAGAATGTAAAGACAGACAAGCGGTATGAAAACCTTCCAGCTGTGTTTTCCTCTGCGGTTGTTGCTGCAGCGGTCTGTGTGACGTAAAGTGAAAACTGTAAAATATCAAACTTTCTGCTGCTGCGCAATGATGATGCAGTGAATAGCGACGATTCTCTCTGACCAATCAGCAGTCTGTCGTGTTTTCACGTCACATTTTAGTTTCCCTCAGTTTGCTTGAAACCTCGACGGAGGTGATATGAAAAAAAGTACCTGGTAGCAGGTGCAACTTTTCTACAGTGGAAAACCAAACAAAGGTGAAAAAATGTGAACTAATAAAAGGTAAAAGAAGCTGCAGCCCGCAGCTGATTCACTGACTGGATGGTTTGTACCCAGGGTTCCCGCCGCTCCTTAAAAAGTCTTAAAATAAAATCAGGAAAATTAAGGCCCTAAATTGTCTTAAACTTATCCTAAATTAGCTGGAGGTATAAAATTTGCAAATGATGTGTTTAAGTCATATTTTGTAATTTCAGTCGTGGTTGCCAGATTGTGAGATGCAGGTTTAATGAAAAGTGGTTGGAGGTTTCGGAGGAGGTTACGTTCACGTTAGGCACCGCGGGGGTGAAGGTCATTGAACACCATGAGGTTTAAAATGCTCCACCGGTACGCAGCGGCTTCTTGTGGGTCAACGCTAACGCCTGCATTGTCGACTCCCTCGCAGCTTCTCAGCAGTCGGCTTTGGGCAGTGTTGAGTCACCGCCGGAGACACGAAGGGCTGAGGTGACCACAAGATTAAACAATGTCATGTTATGGGACCTCAGGGCCTCCGTACATTATAGGAATTGTCTCTTTCTATCGAAGAAATTTTTGGGCTTAAATTATGTTTGTTGGGTCTTAAAAAGGTTTTAAAAAACATTACTCTGAACTCTGATACCTGAGACAATTTAAGGGAAAAAGAAAACACTTAACTAACTTTGAATAGAGTCTTATGGGCAAAGATCAAAGATGGCGGTTGTACGCACATGTCCCGCCCCTCCCGCTAGAAAGCCATCGTCTGCTTTTTAACTGCTGTGCCGGGAAACGTGTTCAGCCAATCGTGTGGCTCCACTGACATCAGCGCACAGCTGACGTTTGGTTGGCGGCGGTGAGGAGCAGATGCGCCACAAAACACCTTCTATAAATGTACACGATATATCCTGACTTTAACTGTTCGAGGTGGGAGGAGCTCAAGGCGTCACGTCACCGGCGCTCTGGATGGAACCGTAAATTCAGCTGATAGTAATATATATTTTTATAATGAGAACCACTGTGATGATGTTAAACATGGAGCTTCTGGTTCTGAAGTGAATGTTTTGATTATTTCTTGTTTTCCTGTTAAAGACGTCCATGTTTCTGTTTCCGTGTCTGCAGAATGCGAAGTTTGTTCTCAGTGACGCTGCTGCTGCTCCTGGCCCTGACGCTCGCCGCCGAGGCCAACAAAAGAGCCAAAGCTCACAAAGGTGAGATTCTATTAAAGGCTGAAAGCATCTCTCTAAATTCCTGGACGTGACAGTGGTTCCTGAAGGCATCACTTACTACTCTTTTGTTCAGCCTAACCCGAACATCACGATGTTCATCATCGCAATCTGATGTTCGGTGAGATTAGTAGGAAGGAAACAGGCGTGTTGTGACTCTGCAGCAGCTCAGAGAGGCAGAACTCTGGCACAGTTAACGCTAACATCACGGTGCTAACGAGCTGATGATAGTTTAAACACAGACTCCCTTCAGGAAAATGGTGATTGACATCTTCCAGGAGTTATTCTGCGAGGACGAGCTACAGATGTTTGAGCTCCACATTTCCCAGCATGCCTTTTTAGACGGGAGGAATGCACAGCTTTCAGCATAAAGGTTAAAGAGCGGAGACAACAAGTTTTTTCCTGTCGTGATAAAATGAGCTCTTCAAAACCAAACTCTGAGCCTCGACTGGAAAACAGGAGCCGTCTGGTTTTACTGGGACGTTGACAGGAGCTCCTCAGGCTTAAGCTAATATTTAAATCTCCTCTGGAGTTTTGTTTTTTTGAAGATAAAGCATGTAATTTAAAGATCTAAGTGCAGATATTGTAATGCACAGACGCGTTTCTTTTTGTGTTTGCATGTCGTGTTAAAACCCTCAAAAATCCCTCTCCTCCTGAGTCAAGACTCTAAACAGAGATATGAAACACATGTGCGTGACTCACTTTCCAAGGGTTTCATTATCTCCAATTATTATAATTATTGTCTATAAATCTGCTGACACAGGAAAACAGGAAAACCCCGCTGCCTGCAGCTGCAGGACCTGCATGAGAATCTTCATGTTTTATTCAGTTTCACAGTGATGCAGTGGCCGCAGCTAACTGCTACCAGCTGATTCAGCTGCTGCTAGTAGAGACAAAGACTTTTTTTGCATCTCAAAAATGTAGAAGTAGATCTGGTAGTCTGGTTCACAGTGAACCTTTCCACCACCTGCACCTGCGGCTAAAACACAAAGCTCAAGTTGTGGCTTGAGGCAAATTTTTCAGACGTACGAAAAAGATGTTTGTAATGAAAAGTGCCCTGCACGTTTTGCTTCTCGTCTGTTTTATTCCACATTCACCTACTGAAGGTTAAATCTCAGTTTAACACCTGGACACACCTTTATAACATCACGGCGGCACAATATTTGTTAAAGATAACGTGTGTGAAAATACAATTTTAAATTAAATAATGTCATGCTGCAGAGACGTCCTGGCATGCACATCACATTCAGACTTAAGAAACGACTTTGACATGAGTCCTGATCAAAGCTTCCAAATATTCATTCATTTTCAGAATATTTACTAAGTGCCTTAAAGTGCCACTTTCACTGAGTTAAATCTTTTAACCAATATCAGTCCTGATATTCCAAATATTCATTAATTTTTAGAATTTTAACTGTTTTAAATTCCATTTGTTTACATAATCCCACTGTTTTTATTAAAAACAAAAAATTATGAAAAAGAAACATAATTATTAATAGAAAAAACATTTTTTTTTGTGCACTAAATGTTGGGGGTTTATGTCCATGATTTGCGACAACAATGATTTTTATCCATTTTTATATTTTGTGCTGTTTCAGTGTAAAATCAAATTAGAATTTTACGCATTTAAATGCCATTGTTTACAAAATTGGGGGGGGGGGCACCAAAACATTTTTTTTTAAAACATTTTTTTTTTTAAATTATTTATCATTTTTATAAATAGAAAAAACACAAATTAATTAATTAATTTTCAGGATTTAAACCCTTTAATTTTAAAGTTTTTGTGATGATACAATCAAATTTATAAAAATTAAAAACCACAAATGTTATTTTTTCATAATCTAAATACTTTGGTTTATCACAGTCTTGAATATGTCGATGATTAGCAACAACATTGGGTTGGTTTTTTTTATTTTATTTGTTCTAACAGTCACAACTTTACTTTAAAATACACGTCATTTGCATCAACACAGCCAAAATGATCAAAAACAGAAAAAGCCAAAAAAAAAAAAGTCCATCAGCTTAAAGGTTAAATATGATTTTCAATGAAAATGAGAATAATTATGTAAAAATGATAACACAAATTGCAATTAGATTTTTTATTTATGGGAGCGTGACATGGAAACTTTTCAGTGAAGCAGGAGGCGTCTGCAGTCTGTGCCAGCGCCCCCCCGTCCTTTATCCCGCCCCCCATCAAAAAAGATGTTGGCTGTTTGCCCTAAAAAATTTTGATTACTGTTGATGTTACTATTGTTAAAAGTATATTATTGAATGACAAACAACATATTTATTCCTTTCCCAGGGAACAAAAAAGCCATGTGAGAAGTAATTACATTTAACTAATAAGTAAATGTTCCTCCCAGAAACTGTTTTCTTGCAGTTGAAGATTTTGAGAATTAAAGAATTAATTTCCTGCATTTTGGTCACAATTTCTGCCTTTTCTGAGCTGTTGTTGATGTTTTTATTTATGTGAAAGGAAACACAAAATTCAGGTGACATTTCAAAATATATAAATATAATAGAATATAATGTTCAGGGCGCATTTTCACCTCAGTGATAAATGTATTCCTTTTAATTCAGTTATTGACCAGACTTTAATGGCTCCTGTGTTTCAGCAGCTTTTCTGCTCACGTTCAGAATCCGTCCCACATTTCTGTGTTCTCTGCTAATATTACGAGACTGACATCACCATTTAATTTATAATATTTTTACTACCTGCCCTATACTCCAGAACTGGATGAGTGTGCGTGATCAGGCAGAAATCTCACCATAAATCCACACGTTAACTTCAGCACGGTTCATTTTTATGTGGAAAAAACAAATGAGAATTCAAACCAGTGTTTTTGTGTCTGGAGGGAGAAATCTTTAAAAATAAAAGCCTTATTGTGAAACTTCCTGTTAAAGGTTTGCAGACCAGGTGTCGTTCAGGTTCGTTCTGACAGAAGCTGTGACTCTGTTCCACCAGGTAAAAATCCTAAGAGCCCGCCAGAGTGCTCCCCTGAAGAGGTCCAGTATGGGAAATGTGTCCCACAAAAAGGGGACTGTGGAGACGGACTGAGAGACGTCTCCTGCAAAGATCTGAACGACAAGATTCACTGCAAGATCCCGTGCAACTGGAAGAAGGACATCAGTAAGACTCCACACACACCTGGCTAAGGCTAATTCATACTTCTGCGTCGAATCCACACAGTAGGTACAGCGTAGCCGGACCATAGACTGTAAAAAAACATGGGCGTAGTGACGTCACCTGCCATCGCCGTCTTGGCAGCGCGTCATTCCCAGATAACCAAAAATGGAAAGAGGCGGGTCGTGGAGAAGCTTCTAAGTTAAGACAACTATGTTCCCGCCTAAAAAACTCTTAAAACTGCAATATGTGACACAAGAGCAGCAGGATTGTAACTTACGGGGCCGTTTGTTGGTACAAAATGGATTCTGGGATACAAGATAGCTAGTAGCATGAACTGTCACTCAAAGCAGCCACGCCCCTGGTTATGCAGAACTTTAAGGCTTAATATAATTTAAACAGGTGAGTTATAAAAAAAATTCACCCCCCTCACAGTTGTCAAGAAGGACAAAATAGTATATATAGTATATACAGCCCTAGTGTGTGCATGTGTGTGTATATATATACATATATATACTATGGCTGAACAATTAATCATTTTCAAATGAAAATTGCAATTTCATTAGCTAATCGTGAAGATGGCGATTAAAATGTAGGTTAATTGTACATCTGACCCGTTTTAAACAGTCATGCAGTTACATTCTGTTGTCGTCCTTGTGTGACAGACTAACCAATCACAAGCGCCATGCGCCTCCTGTTATGGTCCTACTCACCAATCAGAGCACAGGGCGTGTACATTTTACAACAACAAACCAAACTAGAGGAAAACGTGTTAATGGTGCCAGACGAACAGACACAGGCCGCCGTTTTGTCCGGCGTCAACTCGTACTGAAGTGTTTCAGCAGCGGCGTGTTTAGCCTACACGTGTCATTTTATGTGCTTCAACTACGGAGCCTGTTTCGTTGCGCTCGCCACAGGCTGCAGATCACACATGGAGCATTTCAGAATAAGAGCGTTTTGCCTGCCTGATTTTTCTGATTTGTTCAGTTGTCCTTGATTTTGTGCTTCTACCGTGGTTAAGTAGCTATGTAGATAAATTGTTTCTTTTGTCTTTTTTAACTGTGTTAACTGTTGACGTACAATTGGGAGTCTGCAAAGGGTGTTTTATTTTGAAAATCTACCAGAGTCTCTATGCCTTTCTGTGTCTGACTTCCTGCCTGGTTCATCTGCTCTGTGCTGCTTGACGTGGTCAAAAATAGACTGGCAGTGAATATTGAAGTTTAGCATAACTTCAATAAAAGAAATTGCAAATCGAATCGTTTTTCTGTTGTAAAGTTGGACGGGGGCTGAGACAATGTGCATATACTCATACCGGATATAAATATATCATTTATAGAACCACCACTACAAATATTAGAGGTAAAATGACATTTTAAGAGCTAAACATCTTGTGGACAGAGACAGCTGGAGTTTGATTCACCTTTTGGATCCAGCTTCTTGTGGTCATAACAGGAACTGCATCATCATCAGGAATGTGATGGACATTTAATGTGTTGAGCTGCAGAAAAGAGTCGGTGTTCATTTTAAAGTTAATTTATTAAGTGAATTACTCTGACATGAAACACTGATTGTAAATGTGAAGCGCTCGTCTGCTGACATGAATTGAAACATCTGCACCTGACAGAACAAACAGTGAGACGCTTCAGTGTGTTACAGGTTTAACCTGCGTGTCCTTCCTTCAGGTGACTGCAAGTACAAGTTCGGCCAGTGGGGATCCTGCGACGCCAACACCAACACCAAGAGCAGATCAGGAACGCTGAAGCGTGCGCTGTTCAACGCCGACTGTCTAGCCACCGTCAAGGTTACCAAACCCTGCTCCCCCAAAGTCAAGAAAACCAGAGGTGAGACCTGAAGGTTCCCAACATCACATCCACACAACATCTGTGTCAGAAAATACTGTCGTTTAATTTCTTAACTAACTCAAAAGTGATCTTAGTCAGACACTTTGAAGGCAGTGATGGATTTCCAGCCTGTTCACATTCCCAGGACATCAAATAGAGACTCTTTGTCACGTCCTTTGGCGTCTGGTACCAACGCACATGGCGGCCTGTAGCTTCACTAAAAGTAGGCCCAGTATAAATAACAGGAAAGTCCGAATAAGGAAAAGTCAGAAACTGGACTTTCAACCAGGAGACCGGTGTTTGTGTCACGTGTGAAACAAAAAGTCAACAAGTAACAGTTATTTTAAGCCAAACCAGAAACTTTTTTTTAAACCTGACCGAGTACTTTTGGCGGCTAAACATGACTAAATTGCAGTGTTTCGCAAAGTTAACTCATTTTTTTGTACATTTCAGTGTAACTGGACGTTGCATGTTTATTCTTGCTAGCTTGACCCCGGAGCCACGTGGTCTTGACCAAGCGTCTCTAAAGTTACCAAAACCATTGATGAACCATTTCTAATCCAGGTCAAAAAACATTCTTCAAACTTCCAGATCCTTTTACTGTAAAAGTATTAAATAATTTAAAAGTTTAAACATTTTCTTACAAAACAACAAAAATGTTGCAAATTTGAGCAGAAACATCTGGAAAAACTCAAAACAACCGTCATTTTAGACGAATGATCTACTGAAACAGTCTGACAGAATCATTAATCACACCTTTCATTTCCTTTTCTGTCTCCAGGGGACAAGAAGTCAAACTAACGGATGAACGGACACAGAAGATGGCAGATTCCCTTCTCTGCCTCCAGTTGAACAATCGTCTTCCATCCTTCATCAAACACAAAAGAAACAGAGAGACTCCTCCAAAACACGCCAACCACCTTCAGATTTTTATCCTCCTTTGACTTTTCTTCTTGTTTTACCGATTCTGATTCGATGTTCTTGTGTTTATTAAAATGCGGAAAGCTTTTCCAGAACCCTCCCTCTAGATAAGAATGAATAATAACTGCCCTGGTAGCTGATAGTTTGTTTTAACAGTGAGTTTCAGGTAGTCCTAAAAAGCTTTGACAGTAGCCGAAGTTAATGTTCCGGTCGGGAAATTCTCCTCAATGGTCCGGGACGTCAGGAACTGGACCGTAAAGAGTTCTGTTTAGAGTCACGTTTAAGATATGTAAAAAACAATAATTAGAAAGGCTTGGATGGATCTGTAACGGCAAAATCCAATATAAAATCTATTTTTTGAACTATAGATTGTTGCAAGATGAGACTTGTATAAATGAACAAATTAAATACTGTACATTGTTTTGGTGAAGAGTTTGTTGTTGAGTCTGTTCATTTGTGTAACGCGTAACTCAAACACATTATAATGCCACATGGTAACTACCACATAAACAGAATTCCACATTGACTTTGTTGGGATGTTAGGAAGCTTCTAGCATGTAATTTAATATCCATAACTATGTTTTCAGTGGTGTGTAAAGACCTTACATAATGAAGTTATGTTTTTATTACCTTAGATTGAGACATTTCTATCTACAGACACCGCGGCTCCTCTTACATGGGCATCGGCATGTTGCACCGCCATGTTTCTACAGTAGCCCAAACGGACAAACTGCTCTACAGAGCGCGTTACTTCACTACGATGAATACGTACGAAGAAGAAGAAGTAGCAGTCGTCGTCATCTGGTTTATTAGAAGTAAGAAAAGAAGTGAAATTTAGACAAATGGAGGAGCACACGTGTTATTTAGCATGTCTGGCTTCTCCTGCGCGCTTAGAAAACCTACACACTGAACCTTTAAAGGTTTCAGTGGCATCTAGTGGTGAGAGTTGTGAATTGCAACCAGTGGCTCAGTCACACCTCCCTTTGCAAGCGAGCAGGAGAAGCTACGGTGCTAAATAATACATGTCTAAATTTCACTTCTTTTCTTACTTCTAATAAACGTGACGACTTCTTCTTCATCGTAGTGATGTAACACGCCATTTGCCCGTTTGGGCTACTGTAGAAACATGGCGGCCAACATGGTGACGTCCATGTAAGAGGAGCCGCGGTGTATTTAGACAGAAATGTCTCATTCTAAGGTAATAAAAACATAACGGTTCATTATGTAACGTCTTTACACACCACTGAAAACAGTTATGGATCTTATATTGCATTTCTGTCTGTATATCCTCAGAAATATTACACGCTGGCCCTTTAAGTGTGACAGCAGTTGTTCACACATGGCATCCATTTAGCATTAGCATGTGTCCAGCATCCCTCCCTGACCACATGCCACCTTAAAAAGACATCCGTTAGCTCCGGCTAAGCTAACACGACACATGCTGCAGGGAGAGATGCTAACGCAGGCTGTAGGTTAGCTCTACAGGCGGAGCGAAAAGTGTCCCAGGAGAATAATCACTGTGTGTGAATTCTGTAGAAGTGAAAGACACGACCTGAGTCCGATTGTCAGGCTACGTTAGCATGTTAGCATGCCATAATAGAAGTAATCTTCAAATTACAGCCGAGGCTAACAGGAATGTGGTCACTTAGTTTTAGAGGCTTCCGAATAGAAAGTCAGAGGATTATTTAACATAAACATTAGTCCAAGGTTCAGACTTCCTGCAACAAGACGAGACGAGGAGACAAGAGAAAGGTACCAGAAGCCTGTGAACATGAAAACTGAAGGAGAGAAGTCAACTACAACTCCCAGGGTGCTTTTCAGCAGCACGCATCCAATCACAGAGATTGAAACTGACTGCAGCGACTCTGAGGTCAGTTCAGTAGCTCTGGTGCGACGTTTTGTGCACCTCTGATTCACAATGACGACTTCTTCGTGGCAACGTCAGCTGAGGCTCATGGGTATTGTAGTATTTAGAGCGGGAGACTCTAAGAGAGTCATTAATTAAAGTTTACAGCAGCAGCTTCAACCACTTCACAACTCCACGTTCTCAGTCCCATCTCGTGTCACGTGACCAACGGACCACAGGTGACCTTTACCTGGCAGACTGAGCTGCCACGCACCGTGTCAGCGGCAGCGCAGCAGGCCGCAGAAGGTCTTTCTGAAGGTGGCGTTACACAGAGCGTAGCAGCCGGGGTTGATGGCGCTGTTGATGTAACAGAGCCAGTATCCGATGGTCCACAGGACTTCGGGGATGCAGACGTGACAGAAGGCGGCGATGACGGCCATGATGTTGAACGGCGTCCACGTGAGGATGAAGGTCAGCAGGATGGCCAGGATGGTCTTGGTAACCCTCCCCTCCCTCGCCATCACTCGACGCTTCCGCCTCTCCTGAGACTTGAAGCTGGGACAGGCAGAGAACACCGCTGAGGCCGTCTTGTGGAGGTCGGTGTTGGACGAGGAGTCGTTTTCGATCTTGTTGTAGTCTTTGTCCGTGGCGTGGCGGGCAGCGGTCTGAGGGGGACCCCGCTGAGGAGACTGACTGACCCCGGCTGAGGTGTCACCAGGACTTCTGCACACTTTCTGGCTCCTTCTGGACTTTGGAGTGCTGGACTCTGATTGGTTCAGAGACAGATCAGAGGCTGGGTAACTGGTCACATGTCTCCGCCTGTTCAAAAGGAAGTCTTTTATGGACGGGCTGCATGTCCTGAGCGCGCCTCGCTCTGATCCGAGCGCGCTAAGTCGGCGGCGGCTGGCGTCAGACAGCCGGCTGTACAGGCCGATCATGACGAGCGCCGGCAGGTAAAAAGAAGGAAGCGTCGTCCCCAGAGTGACCGCCGGGCTGGCGAGGAGCTGGGTGTAACACTGTCCATCAGGGACCACACGTTGGCCCCCGGTGGTCTGCCAGCAGAGGATGGCGGGGGCCCATAAGACGAAGGACAGCAGCCAGGCGGCGCTGATCATCAGACCGGCCATCCTGCCCGTCCGCCGAGCCGGGTAGCTGAGCGGCCGTGTCATGCAGAGGTACCGATCCAAACTGATGATCAGCAGGTTCATGACGGAGGCGCTGCTCACCACGTGGTCCACCACGAGCCACAGGTCGCAGACGGCGGCCCCCAGGGGCCAGCGGCCCAGCAGCAGGTACAGCGTGTACAGGTTCATGGAGAGCAGGCCGATGATCAGGTCGGCTACCGCCAGGCTCAACAGGAAGTAGTTGTTGACGGTCCGCAGGCGGCGGTTCACTTTGATGGACAGGATCACCAGCGTGTTGCCGAGGACGGTGACCACGCTGAGGGAGGCGGTTAAAACGGCGATGAGGGTCAGCTGAGCCGCGCTGTACGGACACACCGCCGTGACCGGAGGCAGACAGGAGGCGTTAATGCAGGGGCGGAGCCAGGTGGAGGTGTTGAGGTCGGGTTCAGGTGCCATGTTTCCTGAAAACGCACAAACACACAGATTACTTAGAGTTATATTCCACACCGGGGCCTCTCCGGGAGCCACCGGGCGTCTCCGGGAGCCTCCGGGAGCCACCGGGCGTCTCCGGGAGCCTCCGGGCGTCTCCGGGAGCCTCCGGGCGTCTCCGGGTGTAGTCTGATGCCTTCAGGGTCTCAGAGGGAGCTGTGTTAAATCATCTTTTAACCTGACAAACATCATGTGTTCAGGACACAATTCAAACAGTTTGTCGTCTCTCGCTGTTGACTAACGTACCCTTTCTTTTTTTTAAGAAAGGGGAGGGGCTCAGGCTCTCACACAGAGAAGGGGGTTGCATTGTGGGTAATGTAGGCGGGCAGGATTTGTGGAATGAATAAAGATGATACCTCTGGTTCTGCTGCATTTTTAAAACCTGTCCATCGTGAGTCTCACAGAGAAGCGTGATGATAAAATCTCTGGAGGAGCGTTTTTATTTTTGTTGTGTTCATCATGTCCGAATCCGTCACGTTTCCTCTTTACACTGTTTCATTATGCTGCCGTAACCCAAACTGTCGGTGTTGACGGACGTGAAACTCCCACTGGGTAACAACTGGGTAACATTTTATTTTAAGGTAATTACACGCCTATTAGTGTTAATTAAACCACAATTATTCTCTTATTAGCTCTTATTAGAAACTTAATTAGTTTTAATAAAAGATAAAACATTCATTATTGGCTTTTAAGATATTTATATTTAATAAACCCTGCAAATGAGCATTGTTAATAGTTAATAAGAAAATTAATGAATTAAGGAATTATTATAAACCTCATAGTCATTAAACACCTTAACACTGTTAAGCCAATAATAATATAACTAACATTCATTAAGTGTCATTAATGTTAATAATGGACTTATGTTTATAAGCATCTCAAGTTATTATAAGATGCTTATTAACTCTTAATTACTGCTTATTACAAGATCCTTAAAATAAAGTGTTAGAAAACATCTGCTTCTTTGATTCAAAAGTCGGAAGCAACAAGAAGCCGGAGGACATGAAGATGGGAGGAGAGAATTCAACTACGACTCCCAGGGTGCATTTCAGCAGGAAACATCCAATCACAGAGCTTCAACACGAAAGGTCGCACTGCTGCGAGTTCAGGACATTAAATTTGTTCACTTTTAAAACTCTGGATCAGTTTTGGTTGCAGTCGGTGTCGAAAACTATTTGAATTTACGCCTCTGACGGTCTTCCAATTCTAAAACAACAATATTGCCAAATCTACAAATAAATTAAGAAAGCACATGTCGTTTTATACAGTTAATTACATTCTATTAATTAATGTAATGTTAATTACATATCTGACTCTTTTATCCAAAGCGACTTACACTTGCTGTACATGTCAGAGGTCGCACACCTCTCACACCACAGGCATGTGTCTTATCCACTGTTCCATCACCACTTTACTTACATTAAGAAAATAAAAGTGAGAGCTAAAAAAATTCTCTCTCAAATATATATATATATATATGAATTAAAAATAAAACAAAGTCTTCCTCTCCGTGGCAACAGAGGCTCATGGGTACTGTAGTGTGCAGAGACAGAACCGAGGTGTAAATAAATCTGTCGTTACCATACGTTCATAAAATCTTCAATATTTATAAATATTTGTCTATTTTATTCCAAACTGCAGATCGAGTGAATCTTTGTTGGTTAAAATTAGTAACCGAGATGTATCAGTGTTTTTTAAATATATTTTCTTATAGATATAATTTGTTTTATAGATTTAATATACAAGATATACGGTTGTTTTATGCTTTTTTTTAACCTCTTCTGTTGTCCAAGTTTAACTTCTGGTGTGGTTATTGAGTCTATTTGACTTGTTGCTGTTCTAATTTCTTGTTAAAGGAGGAAATTCAATAAACACACAATAAAAAAATTTAAAGATGTAATCCGTTTCTCAGAGTCTCGTTTTGTCTGAACAACTTTCCGAAACCCAGAGAGATTCAGAGAAAACATCTCAATTAATTAATTAACAATTAATCAAATTAGTTGCTGACTCTTTTTCTGTCGACCGACTAATTGATTTTGTTTCAGGTCACAAACAACCACAGAACCTCTAGCACACATATAATCTGAAAAAAGGGCCGATATGTAAAGTTCAGTCTTTTATTTTAAGAATTGATCTCAGATCTGTAAAATCTATTTCAACAGTAAATCTGACTGCTTCCTGTTAATTACCAACAGCCATTCTGTTAATCTGTCGCAGGATTAACAATCAAAGTCAGAACAGCTGCAACGATCAGTCGATTAACTGATGACAGAAAAATAACAGGTAACCGCTGTCATTATCAAATAGAGCTGCAACGATTGATTGATTAGTTGTCAACTATTACATTAATAACAATACTGATAATCGATTAATCGCATGTTTTTTTCCTCCTCTGTGACATTAAACTGAATACATTTTGAGGTGTTTGAGGACGTCACCTCTGCGTTTGGGGAAACACTGATGGACATTTTCTAAACCGAACAGCTGTGATGTTTGTTATTAACAATGAGCTTTGGGACTTGTTGGTCGGTCACTTTGGGCTCTGGGTAACTGTGACGGCAGAATCTTTACAAACCAATCAATCGATTCATGGAGTAAATAATCAGCAGATTGATCCAGAACAAAAAGAATCATCAGCTTCAGTCTGATACTAAATACTTTTTAAATTTGACAATAACGACGAGGAATAAATTATCTGAAAATAGTTCAACATTTTACCGTTTCAACACTTTAAGTCTTGATTACACTCACATACTTTCACTGGACGAACATTTTCACCACACTTTTACTTGTCATGGGGTATTTTTACTGTGGTAAAAGTACTTTTACTGCAGTAAAGAGTCTGAATACGTTCTCCACTTGTCGATAATTAAAAACTAAATTATTTTAACGACCACCAGAGGGCCCCAAACCTTAACTAGGAGCTCAAAGACTCCAGTGTTAAAGATCAACCTGCTGTCTCACCTGCTGCTGGTACTGGACCTACTGGTGCCGGACCTGCCGCTGATGTTGGTTCTGCTGGTGCTGGACCTGCTGATGTAGGTTCTGCTGGTGCTGGACCTACTGATGTTGGTTCTGCTGGTGCTGGACCTGCTGATGTAGGTTCTGCTGGTACTGGACCTACTGATGTTGGTTCTGCTGGTGCTGGACCTGCTGATTTAGGTTCTGCTGGTGCTGGACCTGCTGATTTAGGTTCTGCTGGTGCTGGACCTACTGGTGCCGGACCTGCCGCTGATGTTGGACTTGCTGATGTGGATTCTGCAGGTGCTGGACTTGATGCTCTCTCATCACCTCCTCAGCTGCGTCTCCTCCAGCAGCAGCAGTTAATATGTACCAGAGGAACCCCTCCCCCGTGTCTCCCTGCCTGACGTCACCCCTCCCCCGTGTCTCCCTGCCTGACGTCACCCTCCTGGTGACCCCTCCTCAGATCAGACTCACGTGGGCCGTAACGCCACATCACTCTGAGAGCAGAGCGAGCCCTGACTCCTTCTGTTCACCGTCAGTTTAACTTCCCTCCCTGCTGAGCCGTTAAGAGATCTGGATCCATAAAGGGGGTCCTGTGAAGGCTAAAGACCTTGTACCCAGTGATTCAGGATCTCTTTCCTGTTTTGGTGAGACTGCGTCTGAAATCACTTCCTGTTTGTCTGATCAGATCCCCTGAAAGAAAATCCACTAACGTAATGAAAACTGCTAACAATCCCACAATGCAATGCGTCACATTTGGCCGTCACATTACTCTCCAGTTTTGCTTTTAAGATGTTTTATTACAGAACATCTTTGAAACCGGACGGGATTACAGTGAAAACCACCGGACTCACCCGGCCTTTATTTGAGACGGGCTTTTAATTCCTTTCACACAAAAGTCTTGCTCGGCAAAGGCGGGAAATACGCTGCTGTTTGCATAAACAGTGGGGCTTTATAACATCACATTAGGAACAATCCACAGCTACGTTTTCCTGGATTTGTTTTAGGTTTTGGAAAGAGAATAAATCGTCCTTCTTTCAACCTCTCTGTGGAGCTGCTGTAACTATTACGAGTGCTACAGCGTTTATGTTGGAAAAATACAGCAATAAACGATAAAGATAGAAAATGAAGAAAATGTAGTTTTCATGGAGCGCCACCATAAAAGTGTCGGACCTCAGTCAGAGCCAGTCCCATACTGCGCTGTGATTGGCCAGCTCGCATAGGGTTCAGGTCTCATGAAGTGACTCCTGTGTTTATTTGTCGAAACATGAAGCCACACGGGGCCAGTAAACGGGACAGGCGTCTTAACTTAATGAACGAGTCTAAATTCGCTCCGCCATAGTTTCGAAATGAGCCGAAAATATTTTTACAATTCTCATGACATTACAGAGCTCTGACGTTGTGGGGGCGCTGCTGTGAGCTCGCACGCTCTGGCGTCCGACTCGAGACAACCACGTTTCTTTTGAGGTAACTACGGTAACTACGGTCTGTTTCTGTCACTCGTTTGTGAGGTAATAAGGCGTCTGTACAGGATGGAACTAAGATTAACTGGATCGTATTCACAGAAAGTATAAAACACATAACATGTGTCCATTAAAAGTAAAAACACACAATACATTTTTACATATTCTGTTTTCTATTCTTTGATTTGTTGGAAAAACATTATTTGTTGACTTTTGCTGCCGTTTCATCCCGATTTATAGCTATACAATGGGTTTATGATCAAATAGTTTATTAGAGCACAACACTGTTTACAAGTAGGGCTGGGCAATAAATCAATGATAATTATCGTAATATAATTTTCATCAACAACAATATAATAAATGTTCAATAACCCGTCATATAATAGTCGATTCAATTAATTTGAATCACGAACAAATTAGCACTTAATGTTTCTATTAAAATATTAATTTTGTTGAGGAAAAAGATTTTATCATAATAGTTTTGAATGTTCTCCCTCAGATTTGTGAAGTGATCCTCTGTTTGGCTTCAAGTGTTTGTGACGTTCTGACCATAAAGAAAAGTTTAACCACATTACTTAACCATCTGGTTTCTTCAATTTTCCCTCAGGAGCAAAAATCATCCTTTAAACTTGAAAAAAATAACGATTTGACGTATATCGTGATAATTATCGATATCGAAAGATGCCTTTTTGGCCACATCGCCCTATTTACAAAAGTTCAAAGTTCTTCATAGATTGGCTCTTAATTTTGCAACAAATGACAGCATTTGAACACCGGTTTCCCTTTTTGCTGGGGCCCCTGGAACCCCCTCAATTATGAGGGACTAAAAATGACATATCTATAAATGAATAAATAAATAATTAATGCAGAAATAAATTAAAATTAAATTTATTTTTGTTATAAAAAAAATTCTATTTCTGTATTTATTCATTTATAGACATGTCATTTTTAGTCCCTCATACTCAATGACCCCTGGGGGTCCCACGTTGAGAACCACTGGTCCAGCAGAACACTGGAGAATAATTTGTGTGTGGAGGTACAGCCCAAATGTTGTCAAGAATAAACTCACAGGTGACGCACAGAGGTGTTTGTCACAATATAATTTGATGCCTCGCCAACAATAAACGGCGACCCGCTCCAATTATGGGCACATTAAAATATTATCACTCCCTCTGAGATGTTTCAGCAGCACGCCACCTCCGTTAGTCTGCAAATCACTGATTATGAATATTTATTGTTATTTAAGTCGTTACAGTTTGTTGAAGGGCCGATTTGGCTTTTTAAACCCCTCCTAAAAATATAACTCTGATTAGATCTTTAACAGAAGCTGAACTTAGAGAGTTACTGAACTGAAAAGATGAACGAAGAACTAAAACTCAAGTTTTGCCCGATAATTTATTTATTAGCTATTGATCTACGAGACTACCTGAGTGTGTTCTCACATCAGTCTGCTGATAAACGCCGAGACAAACAAGTTTGTTGAAGAAGCTTCTCCACATTTTAAACACAAACACAGACAGCTGATCAGCTGAAAATGATCTTCAACAACTTGATCGGGTCACAGAAAAACTCTCAAAGCTCTTTAATTACATCACGTCTAAAAGTCAAAGCAAGGAATCGGAGCTGTACAGACTCCACAGGTGCACCCACGTTATTCACCAGCTGCGTGGTTGGACACGGCGGTGATCAGTTCATAATTCACAGGGGGGGGAGGGGCACAAGCCTCTCCCCACACCCCCCCACCCCCCAGAGAACCCAAACAAACACACACAAACAGTCAGTCTCTAAAATGTTCATTGATCAAGTAAAGCCAGGAGGAGCATTCAGATCAGCCTGTGTTTGTCTCTTACATGCAGCCGCCGCTGTCCTCGTCCAGGTCGCCGCGGAAACGAGATCCCTGATCTCACCTGGACTAACCTGCAGGAAACGAAGAGGGTTAAATAATAAAAAAAATAAAATAAAAAAGTAAACAGCTCCGTCTGGATCCACACGGTGTCTCTGCACGGCTCCAACCAGGGGCCCCCGCAACTATAACCCCGAAACGCACGCACACACAAACATTCAGTACACGCCCTGTGTGTGTGTGTGTGTGTGTGTGTGTGGCGAAGCACATGTGGAATAACAATAAAAAACTAATTAAAACCAGCAGAGCGTTGGCGGTTGGACAGGAAAAGGAGCACTTGATCCAAGAAATTCAAGTTTTCTTCTGCAGGTGTTTCAGGGAAAGAGGGAAGGCGGGTGGGGTCGCGGGTCAGGTGGGCGGGGTTTAGTGTGGAGGCCTTTCCCACCACAGGAACCTAACGAGCTTCAGGTTTACCCACCAGCTCTGGTTCTACTTTTGTTTGGCGAGATACAAAATCCTGACGCTCAGGTACCAGCTGGTCTGTCGGCGCCGCAGGACGCGTTTACATAAACGCGCGTCCTGCAAACTGAATGTTGTTGCGCATTAAAGCGCAAATCGTTAATATTTACAAAAAGACATTTCCAGGAGCGAATAACATTTCTCCTAAAGCTCCGCTCGCTTCAACGTTGTTTTGTTTCCTTCCGGAGCTTCGACAAATCTAATTTGACGCAAGCGAGCTTTGCGTCGAGTCCTGCTCCCTACTCTGCATCTGATTGGCTAATCATAACCAACGGAGGGAACGAGCACCGGCCAATCGGAGGCAGAGCTGTCGAAAGCCTGGCAGAAAATAAAAAACGCGCTTTCAACGGAACTGTACAGGAAACAAATATTTGTAGGTCATGTGACCCAGCAGCGTGTTTTCTGGCGGTGCGGAGCAGAGAGAGACCAGGACCAGGAGTCACCTGTCCCAAAGGACTCGGCCGGGTCTGGAGATCTGGTCTGGAGTCTTCAGATGTCAACATTCCTCGTTTGTCCCACAACAGAACAGGACGTGAACATGACGACATCCGTCCTGCCTTCGCCTTTTCAGCGACATTAATCGGAAGCGTTGGGCGGCGGAAAACAAGGCAGAACCAAGAACCCGGACTTTACAGGTTCAGGTTCCTGCAGTGGAAAAAAGACCAGGTTGCCCCCCTGACCGGCGGCAGAAAGGAGGTGCTACATGAGTCTCCCTCCCTCCCCACTACTACACACCACAACACACACACACACTCGCTCAGGAGCGCGCTCAGTCCGCACAGCTCGAGCCACGTTTATCCACAATATGTTCACATTTTCCCAGAGGTGGCTCGTTTGCTACCGAGCAGGTTTCACTTCTTCATTTGTGAAAGAACTTAACGTTGAAGCTCATTAAAAGACCGCAGCGGCGCCACTCGACCACTTTCAGCTCAAAATCACGTATATTTTACATCTACGATCTCAGTCTGGTGACTAAACCTCACGTTCAGACTCAAACCAGCCGTGAAGGCATCTCCTAACAGCCTGCCGTCTGCTTTTCCCTCATGTTCCTTCATCTCCATGAACTCTGTACCGTCCTGCTGCCCCACACGCTCACTACAGCGCCACACGTGGATTCATCCGCCGCTGAAAGTAGTGCCCAACAGATGCTCAGTGGGTTCGCAGCTGAGAGCCACCGACGGGAAGTCAGACATGTTTGCTGGTTCGGGTCTGAACATGTAGAGTAACGACATCCTTCTCCTCGGATCTGTTGATCCTGCAGGCCGCCGGTGGTGTTCTTTGATTTCTTTACAGTAACGAGTCGTGTAATCCATCCCAGCCAGTCAAACCTAAATCATCCCTCGCGGTAATGATGACGGCGACGCACATTAAAAAGAAAAACATTACAGTTCGCTTTAACGGATCCAACAGATTCATTTTCACACCAGACGGCGTTTCCTGCAGGAAAAACGCATCCAAACTGCGAAAGCACGGTGCAGCAGACGATCCAAACTGTTCTGCTAAATAAGGATTAGAACTGTAGTTTAGGTCAACAACTAAGCATCATCGTCATTATCAAACAATCTGCTGATTATTCTCTGGATCAACTCTTTAAGCTTTAAAAACATCAGAATATTGTGAAACCATCAAAACACAAAAATCTTTAATTTAAAGATGAATAAAAAGGAA